CATCTCGGCTCACCACAACCTCCGCCTCCTGGGTTCAAGTGATTCTCCTGCCTCAGCCTCCCGAGTAACTGGGATTACAGTCATATGTCATCATGCCCTGCTAATTTTGTATTTTTAGTAGAGACGGGGTTTCTCCATGTTGGTCAGTCTGGTCTCGAATTCTCGACCCCAGGTGATCCACCTGCCTCAGCCTCCCAAAGTGCTGAGATTATAGGCGTGAGCCACTGCACCCGGCCTGCTGTTGTTGGTTTTAATGCTCTGAGTTTTCAAATCTGTACTGTGTTTACTGATTTTCTGTCTACTTGTTTTATCAATCATTGAGAGATGTTGAAATCTCCACCTATAATTGTGAAATGTTTTTGTATATTGCTCCTCGCAATTCTATCAGCTTTTGCTTCATGTATTTTGAGGCTGTTATTAGATGCATAACATTAGGATTGTTTTGTCCTTTGATGAATTGACTACTTTAATTATTAAATGACATTCTTTATCCCTGATGTATTAGTCCATTTTGCATTGCCGTAAAGGAATACCTGGGACTGGATGACTTATAAAGAAAAGAGGTTTATTTTGACTCACAGTTCTACAGACTGTACAAGAAGCATAGTGCTGGCACTGCTTCTAGTGAGGGTCTCAGGAAGCCTACACTCATGGCAGAAGGGGAAAGGGGAGTAGGCATGTCAAATGAGAGAGGGAACAGGAGAGACAGGGAAAATCTCAGACTTTTTAACAACCAGATCTTGTGTGAACCCATTACTTCAGGAATCCCTCCCATTCATGAGGGATGCACCCCTATGACCAAAATACCTCCTACTAGGCCCATCTCCAAAATTGGGAATCATATTTCAACATGAGATTTGGAGGGGACAAACATCCAAACTCTGTCACCTGGTAACATTGTTTGCTTTGAATCCACCTGGACTAATATTAATGTAGCCACTCCATTTTCCTTTGACTGGTGTTAAGGTACATCTTTCCATCCTTTGACTTTTGTTTTTTTGGCAGGATCTCACTCTATCACCCAGTCACCCAGGCTGGAGTGCAGTGATGTGAACATCACTGCAGCCTTGACCTCCTGGGCTCCAGCAAGCCCCCTCTTAAGCCTCCAAAGAAGCTGAGACTATAGGCATGTACCACCACAACTTAATTTTTGTGTGTTTTTTGTAGAGATGAGGTTTTGTTAAGCTGCCCAGGCTGTTCTTGTATTCCTGGACACAAGCAGTCCACCCACCTTGGTATCCCAAAGTGTCTATTCTTTCACCTAAGGCTGTTCATATCTTTGTAAAGTTTTTTTTTTTTTTTTTCCTGTAGGATGTGTATAAAGTTGATCTGACTTTTTAATCCAACTTGATAATCTCTATCATTTAATTGGAATATTTATATCATTTGCACTTATTGTGATTATTCATATGGTTGAGTTTAATAGACCACTTGCTGTTTTCTTTCTGTCTCATCTGTCCTTTGTTCCCTTTTTCCTCCTTTTCTGCCTTATAATGGATTATTTTTCATGATTCCATTTTACCTCCTTTGTTGGCTTATTAGCTATACATTTTGTATGAGTTTGTGTGTGTGTGTTTATGTTTTAGGGGTTGATTTTGGGTTTATAGTATATATTTTTAATTTAACACGGTCTCTTTTTTTATTTTTTATTTATTTTTTAATTTTTAGTAGAGATGGGGTTTCACCAGGTTGGTCAGGCTGGTCTTGAACTCCTGACCTCAGGTGATCCATCTGCCTTGGCCTCTGGAAGTGCTAGATTACAGGTGTGAGCCACTGTGCCTGGCCCACAGACTACTTTCAAGTGAAATTATGCACTTCACATATAGTGTGGAACTGTACATTTGCACTTCCATTTCTGTCTCTCACTCTCTGTACTACTATTATTATACATTTTAATCTGCAATATAAACCCCATAACACATTATTATTTTTTAAATAGTACATTATCTTTTCATTAAAAATTCTTTATATTTACCACATTTTATCATTTCTGTTGCTCTTTTTCAGATACAGATTTCTATTTGGAATAACTTGACTTCTACCTAAGGAATTTCTTTAATATTTATTATAGTTTAGGTCTGCTGATAAGGAATTCTTTCAAGTTTTGTGCATCTCAAAGTGTTTATTTTCCTTACATTTAAAAATCATCTTTCGACTGGGTATAGAGTTATGCATTTATAGTTTTTTTTTTTGTCCCTTGATACTTTAGAGAGATTACTGTTTCTTTTGTGTTATTCCCCAGAAGTGTGCTGTCATTTTAATTTTTCTTTCTCTGCACATGCCTTTTTCTCTGCTTGCTTTGAAGATTGTCTTTTCCTTTATCACTGGTTTTGAGCAATTTATGGTGTGCCTGGGTGTAGTTTTCTCCCTGTCCCTAGTTTTGGTGCTTGGCATTTGCAGAATTTCTTGGTTCTGTGGGTTTATAGTTTTAATCAAATTTGGAAAATCTTCACTTCAATTATACATCTATTAGGCCATCAGAAGTTATTCCAAAATTCACTATTGCTTTTTCCCTCAATCTCATTTTTCTCTGTTTTATTTTGGATCTATTTTTACTTATCTGTTCTTCTATGATGTCTAATCTGCTGTTAATCCAATCCAGCGTGTTTTTCATCTTAGATGTTATAGATTTCATCTCTGGAAGTTTGGCTTGAGTCATACTTATAAATTCTATGTGTACTTTGCATGTTGTCTTTCTTCTAGCTTATTAAACATGTGAAATACAGTTATCATAGTTTTAATGTCTAATAATTCTATCATCTATAACATTCTGGCTTTCCTGATTTTTCTTCTCATGATGGATTGCATTTTGCTGCTTTTTTGTATGCCTTGTAATTTTTTATTGGAAGCTAGACATTGTGGCTGTTAACTTGTTGGATGTTGGATATTTTGATAATTCTACAGATATTCTTGTGTTTGTTCTAGAACACAGCTTAGCGACTTGGTAACAGTTTAATCCTTTAAGCTTTTGCTCTTAATCTTTAGGTTGTGCAGAACCAGAAGAGTGCTTAGTCTAGGGTTAATTTTTGCCACTTCTGAGGCAAAATTGTTTTGTATATTCTACCTATTGCTAAAATAGGCAGTATTCCTGTCCTTGAGTAAGCTTTGGAGAGTGTTCCCTTTAATATTTTCAGGTGGTTCTTTCCCATGCCTTGGGTAATCTCTTCATGTACATGTTTTGATCAGTGTTCATCTCAATACCTAAGGGGAAATATCTGCAGGTCTCTGGAGCTTTGTGTGCCACCCTCTTTTATCCTTTATCAGACTTGCAAACTTCAGCTGCTCTGACCTTCCTGGACTCCTAGCTCTATTCCCTCTATTCAGGGAGCTGGTGAACTCTGCGTGAGTTCCCCTCTCTCCAGCATGGCCTAGAAACTCTTTACATGCAATACTCTAGAGCAAACATAGGGCTCACTTAGATTCTCATCTCTCAGGGACCAGTTCTCCATTACCTGGTGTCCGATGCCTTGAAAATCATTGCCTCACATAACTTGTCATTTTTTTTTTTTTTTTACTTGTTTCAAGCAGGAGATTCAATCTGGTTAGTTAGTTCATCTTGACCAGAAGCTGTAGATGATATTGGAAACACCTGGAGAGCTTGTTACAAGTACACATATCTTGTGGGCATATGCCAGTCATACTGATTTACAAACTATATCAGTCAGACAAGGGAATGGTTCTACAATTGTGTGCCAAAACTATCCCAGGCATTAGATATATAAAGTTAAATTAGGCTTAGCACCTGTTTGTAAAAGACTTTGCAATGCACTGTGAAAGACTGGGTAAACCAAATCTTATGGTACAATGTATTAAGCATAATGCCTATATGCAGGGTAATTTGGAGCATCTTATGGGGAAAGGCATCCAAATATAGCCACATGATGGCCAAGGGAGGGTTAGCAAATGAGTCCTGGAGGAAAGGGAGGAAGTTTGGAAAGATGTGCTAGAGTTAGTTATTTTAGTGGGAATGGGGGAAAGGAAGCCAGCAGTAAAGAACACTGAAAAAACAGAGTATACTGTTATGAAGGCTCAGAAGTACCAGATTTTGGGGAAATCTGAGTTTGGAATGGTGGGATTAGAGCAGAGGAAGAGTTGGTCTTCAGTGTCTCCATCTATAAAAGGAGACTCGATCCCTAATGCTGATGACTTTCATGTGGGAGAAGAAAATAAAAGAGCCAGGCATGGTGGCGCGTGCCTGTAGTCCCCACTACTCGGGAGGCTGAGGTGGGAGGATCGCTTGAGGCCAGGAGTTCTGGGCTGTAGTGCGCCATGCCGATTGGGTGTCTGCACTAAGTTCGGCATCAATATGGTGACCTCCC